ACACAAGAATCTATCTAAGGAATCAAAAAATATTAAATAAGGAGAGAATCATACCAAGATGATCTAATCTCGGACATAGGCAGTGGATATCCCCACACGGCGGCTGCCCCAAGAAGCGCTAACTTGAAGCCTGCGCGGCGACAGTCTCGCCGGCGCAGCTGAGGGGAAGTACTCGAAGATACAGATCTACAAGAAGCTAAAGTTATCAACAAGTGCTAACTTAAATGTAGAGCTAAACTTTATAGGGAATAAAGGACACCTCTACGACCCTCCAAAAGCCGGATAGATCGACATTCGCCCCGAAGGACCGATGTCGACACGAGTCTCGCAGCGCTCAGATGAAATCAGCATAGGCTAAGCTGGCCTAGTCGTAAGTCCCGATCTGGTGTAGATCGCGGACGACGGGAAGGTAGTAAAGCAGCGCCCTACTGCCCTTGTTAGGGGAGAACGTCCCTGACAGCAAGATGAGTGCAAAGATGCGTACCCGCTGCTCTCGGGTAGTCGCACCATCGTCAAAGCCGCTGCTAGAGTCGAGCGGTGAATCCCCCTAGCGCTAAACGGAGTCGAATCTACCTCAGCTCGAGCCCGAATAGCAATCGGACCTAACAGCTCTTCGACCTCAGGAGAAAAGACGTTGATCCCGCTATCGAACGACAGTGGCACGGAGCTAAACTGCAGTCTCGTAATGAGATTGTAGTCGGTAGGAGTGACCATCATCTCACCCCAGGGGAAGTGGAAACTGTTGGTGGTGTCCCAAAAGAACTCCACCAGAGCATGAACTACATGGTGACTCCCGCTAGAGGCAACCATTGCCTCGGAGGTCTCGAACAACGCAATAAGCCCGCAAGACTCCCATAGCAGTCTCGTCTGATCGTCTCTGGCGATATACATCTTGTAAAGATCGCCCAAGCCGTCACAACCGGAACCATGACAGCGTGTCCTCCCGACTGTGATGCCCTGTCTCACCCTCTCAGAGATATGGTGGACGGGAGAAATGTACAAGGTCCGCTCATCCCACTCAAGGAGTCGACCAAGCGAAGTGGACGGTTCGGCATCGTCCTCTACGGGCTCGTGCTCCCGTCGAACGTCTCGGGACCGTGAACCGGAACCTCGCCGTCTAGCCATGCTACATTGTGCAAAATTACCATAAATTAAGGTTCTATGGTATCTAAGGTTCGCCTAGTCGCATGATACTATGTTCGTTAAAAAAAAAACAGAGTACGTAGTACTAAAACAGAGCACACATTCAAATTGAGCATGCACGACATTTTTCAAGCAATCAAACAATTTCTTGCAATACTATAGTAATTATTGTGACAAATAGGACAAGAATTGCTAGCAAAAACATGAAGAACAAGCCACATTGTCTTCCCGACCTTAAGAGGTCCAACAATGGTGATTTGTTCATTTCTTCACCAAATTGAGTTAAACATGTCTCAAATTACTCCCAAGGCAATATATAAACATAATCAAGAAATTTCATGGCATAAAATTCGACAAACAAAGAGAATTGAGCAACTTAAATTTTGAATTTTCAAGAAATTCGAGAACAAATACATGCTAAATTCATTAAAACCGGTGTGAGTTTGAAGGAATCTTACATAGATCGTGAAAATGGATGGAATAAGCTTTGATTTGCAACAAATTTGAGCTAATTTGGTTGAGAAACGAGCAAGAACGAGTGAGTTGAAGATCTTAGAATTCTCGAGCAAGAAACGCGAGCAACAACAGCGGAAATGAAGAATAGAAGGGTATTTAAGGAAAACCCGACTCTAGCACCAAGCGCAAGACTTTGGCATCAGTTGATAAGCTTAGCGTCTGGCGCTAGCTCCAGTGTCTGGCACTACAGCCACATAAGTGGCGCTGATGTTATTTCAGCGGCGCCAGAATGTTCAGTCACTCAGTATGGTTGTTCCAACTTTATGCAATATGTTTCGGGTTCCTTGGTACGCCAGTTAGCCCCTCTAAGCAATTTGACATGATTTTTAGTAATCAGCTTGATTACATAAAGTGATCGACCTGATGAAAGATCGTCTCACTTAGCTTTAAGCGCCTAATAATTGGCTCATCGCAAAAGGCACCGACATACTAGTTCATTCAGAAAAGCACTAACGTACTTGTTCATTCAGCAAGAGGCACCGACATACAAGTTTAAAGCAGCAAAAGCGCCGACGTACAGGCATAGCGGAAACAAAGTTCAAGCGAGCTTTTCAAGATCGACAAACGGAGATCTTCGGTAATTTCCTTTGGAAAATTATCGCAAAAAATGAGGGTAGCTTCAAGCGAGGATATCTTTGGCAGCATACCCTAGCTTGTGGAGAGTTGTCACAAACAACTGAAGGTGATTTCAAGCGAAGTTGTCTTCGATCGTGTTCCCTAAGATGTGGAAGATGGTCACAAAGCGGAAGAGGATCGTTTCAAGTGAAACAATCTTCGATAGTGTTCCCTGGCTTGCGGGAGATTATCATGACAGAATTGGAAGCAATTACAAGCGTAGCAGTTTTCAAGCGGGATGTCATTCTCTAGCTTGCAGGAGGTCATCAAAACAACAAGGAAGCAGCAGCAAATCGGTTACTTTCAGAGACGTGTGCTTGACGGTGCAAGATGCGCGTTTCTTAACTCTTTTATTTGTTTAACTAATGCTAGTTTGCAGGTATCGGCGTTGCAAGAATGATTTAGGATCGCAGAACGAATCATTTTCCGTCCCTATCGATACTTTGACTTTTGTTTTCGAAACTTGCGTTTCTCCAAACTTAGTCAAAGTGGGGGCTTTTGTAGACACCCGGTGGTGAGTACCTTTCACGTCGAATCATAATCGAATGACGTGAAAGTGTGGAAAGTTTAGTATTGCGGGTAGTTTTAATTTCTTTTCTCTTCTCTCTATTTTTGAAAACCTATTTTAAGAAAACAGCCAGTCCAGCTTGGTTGGACCATGATATGGGTCCAATAGTAGTGTAGTTGGATAGGGCTTGAAAAGAGCTTTCCAACGATATACTATAAGCCTAATTCCGATGAATATTGAGGTAGTTATGGCCAAATTACCGAACTGGGCCCGTTTTGAGCCTTATATGCGGCCCAATGATCTAGAAGAGGGCCTAATATAGATTTATCATTCCTAATTCAATTAGCATTGATAAATTGACTTTTTTTGACTTTTAGAATTTTTATCATAATAAAAGAACGTTTTTGAGGAAAATACGATTTTATTCTCCGTATGGTCAATTTCTATCTGATTCTAGAAAACGCGTCAAAATCTTAGTCAGCGCCAAACGCCAGCATTAGCGCCTGACGCTAAGCTTGGCGCCTGGCGCTAGCGTCGGCGCCTAGCGCTAATGTCAGCGTCTGGGGCTAACCTGGTTTTACGCATCAGAACTCTGTTTTGATTTTTTATCTTTTTGGTTGATTTTCTCTATAAATAGCCTTCTATAAACTTCATTTTCATTCACCAACTCTCATCAAGATTTTCTTGATTACTCTTTCTCTCTTTTCTAAACTAGCTTTCTCTGAAATACAAATTTCCGCATTCATTAGACTTAGATACACCTAGCCATATTTGAAGTTGCCTTCGCCCTAGACGTGAAAGGTATAATTTCTGAGGGTTTGGTCCAAAATCTCTCTTTCAATTATTATTATTTAATTGTTTGATTTAATATTTTCCTTGAAGTTACTAACGTGTCTATTTTGTTATTAGAAAGAGGTACGAGGCATCCAAGTAAGTACTTTAGTGATTTTTATTGAAATTATTATGTAGAAATCATGCTTAGATTGTTATTTTGATTCCTAGTGTCATGTCTAGGGTAAATTTAATATTAAGTATGATTAAAAGCATGATGCTTCCTATGTTCTTCCTAATATTTATCGTTACTATTATCATGTTAGGGTTAAAGCTATGATTTTTATTGCTTAGTGACATGCTAGGGTTTGTTATTAATCTTGTTAGTATCATGCCTAGGATCTTGCTATGATTATGCTTTAACGTGATCATGATTATTTTTATAATTGTTATAATTATAATAATAATAATTATTATTATTATTATTATTATTATGTTGCTTGATGATTTTTATTTTTATTGCTTGATCACACCTTTTATACATGTTTAAAGGGAATTGGTACTTGTGATCATGCTTATATAAGATAATTAATAATCTTGTTTAGGGTTAATGTGATTATAATTCAAGTGATCACCAATAGTAGTTTTATTTGTGCATTAATGTTCAACCAACATAGATAAACAGGTTTAGGGTTAATCCTATTGATTGCATGTTAGTCAGAAAGTGCACATGAATACGATTAGAATAAAGTAGAGGCCTATTATTAGGGCAGGTTCAATCTCTTTTAGGTTGGACTTGTACCTTCATCCCTGAACTACCAGTCATGGTTCCAGACCTATTGGAGTTGACGATCTCTTGGATCGTTAAGGGGTGTAACCTTCACCCTGTGAACGGTTTACAAGTTTCTAAAAAACTTGTTGGCGACTCTTTTGCTCTATCTTCTTTCCCTTTGGACGCCACCGTACTTTAGTGTATAATCACAGTGGGGTTCAAGTTTGGGGTAATTCTTGAAATATTCCCTACAAGCCCTAACATGATACTAACATGATATTAGGAAAGAAATAGGAAGCATCATAATAATATCAGAAACATTGGTTAACCCCAAACATGATATTAGGAAGCAATAAAAACATTCTAACATGATACTAAGAATCAGCAAAACAATCTAAGCATGATTTTTATAATAATAATGAAATTAAATTACTTATTTCAATGCCTCGTACCTCTTTTTGATAAAAAAATACACACGTTAGTAACTTCAAGGAAAATAACAAATCAAAACAATTAAATTAAATAATTGAAATAGAGATTTGGGACCAAACCCTCATAAATATTTATTATGCATATTAAGTATGATATAAGGCTAATGTAGGCATAACTATTTAAATAGTAACATGAAAGACAGAACAACAATAATATTCCTGGGATATTTCCTTGTAATCTCACATACTTTTTTGTCTTCTCATATAATCTCACATAGATGGGATCTTGTTGCACTTCAGCATGTTCAGATGACCCTTCGACTTGATTGGCAACAATTGGTGGCTCGTTAATCTACGTATGAAAAAAATACACACCATATCATAGAATTTACAATAAATAATGTCTAACTTATACTTTTCGTAGTAAAAGGCCAAAACTACACACCATATCATAGAAAATTCTTGCTGTGGACTTTGCACCATTAGCCGGTGTTTCAGTTAACTTCAATTTATTTGTTGTGTTCACTTTGCTAATGGCCTACAAGTTGAGTCGGCAAGTTAATGTAGTATAATTGCAAAAATATTTAGCAGATTAACAATAAATTAAACAAAGGAAGCACTCCAATACTCATAAACCAACCAATCCCACTGTATCGGATCAATAGTTGAAGGTCTATTGTCTCTAGCCTCTGCCTTTGTTTTGCCTATATAGTATTTTTCTTTGAGTCTAAACCTCCAATGCCTATATAATATAGAACATTGAAAGCTCAATGCATCAGTCGCGTCCGCACCACCAATCTTTTCAGGTAAATTGTATTTTGCCTAGTAAATAATCAAGTTAAAAATAAAAATAAATATGACAGAACATATCATTATTAATAAAAATAAATCTGACAGAACATATCATTATTAAGCTAATTTACAGGAAGTACAACAAGGCAGTGGGGTGTGGTCAGGTTGAGGGATTGACTTCCCGAAGCAGCAGGTTTAGCCCACCTGAAGGTTGCTTGAAGGTAAACACTGATGCAGCTATAATTACAAGGTATGGGGTGGGCCTTGGTGTTGTTATACGTGGTGATAGGGGGCGTTTGCTTGTTGTTGCAGTGAAGAGATATCAAGGTGATTTTTCTGTCAAGCTGGCCGAGGCCCTTGCTGCTAGGATGGGGCTGCTATTAGCTAAGTCTCTATCCCTTACTAAAGTCGAGTTGGAAGGGGATGCAAGCGCTGTTATTACTGCTGTTAAGAAACAAAAGGTTGGCAGATCAACATAAGGTAATGTTGTTGCACATTATGCTGCTAGGATTCCTCCCCCTAGTGGGTCGGAATTTGTTTTTCTTGACTCTTTTCCCCAAGGTATATTAGCCTTGGCGGATGTTGATTTGGTTTGATTAATAATATTCCCGACTTGCTTTAAAAAAAATCTAATTTATCTAACTATATATAACTTTTATAATTATGTTATATATACTTTGACTCACCAAAATCTTGTCATATAAAATATTCTTCGCATCAGGATCCATTTTAGCCCAATTCCTGTGACAAAAAGAAAATATTACAATCATAATCATCCACATACACATTAAGAAATGGAAATGATAAAAGGTAATTTTATCAAGTGTAATAGGCATACAATGCATTCAAAGGACAAAACTCTTCCACCCAATTGCTACAATCATATATGAACTCATTTGCCTTTTCACTAACCACATGCCGAAGCTCATCCATAAAAGTTAACGTAATCTTTTCTTCTGGATTTCTTTCTCTTTTGGAAGCATATTTTAAACCCCTTTAGGGCCACGCCTCTTACGATTAGGGATTTTTTTTCGAAGCTCAGCTTGGTCAATCCTTCGCTTTTCACGATAAGTCAACCTTGGTGGTGGTTGTTGAATCTCATTTTCTTGTTGATCTTGTTCTGATGAAGTTGGAATTATTGACATTTTCCTATAAAAAAATAAATAATTAAATAAATTATGAGCAACATTAAATAAGATGGTTCTGCATTCAGAGCAACATAAAATGTAGTTCAAAAGAAGTGAATTATGAGCATGAAACTAACTAGTAACATTGTAGAGATCATTTCCACAAAGATAACAATCACAAATCATAAAAAAAGTTGTTAGGAAACATGGTTTATACTTGTCTATATGCATAGTATTATGCGAGTTAATGAATACTGCCTTACAAAAATAAAAAATTTGGCCAATAAACAAGCAATATTCATGTTAACTCACTGAAAGAGCATTTTAATTCCCACATGTTAAGCTAGAATTGAGGAGAAAACACATATTACCTACTGTTAATCAGAGTACCCCCTTTAATTCCCTCATTGCTTAAATCTTTTATCATCCATTAGCATAAGTGAACTAAAACATAATCTAAATAATAAAAGCAAAAATTAGAAAAGTTACAGTTAGCTACTACTTACTCTGCACAAATACATAAAAAACAGAAAATTAGTTAAACCAAGAGGTTATAGACATTATAACTAAAGAAAAAGCTTTGATAAAGCATATGAGCATATATAATTATTTAACTAGTTTCAAATATATAAATAAATGACTCTTTCATATGCTAAGTATGTTATTCACTAGAACTATCATTGTCATCATCATTGTCTTCAAGGTCATCGTCAAGAGCCTGCAATGTAGATTCCATATTAGACAATTCTTCCTCCTCCTCTTCTTCTTTTTCTTCCTCCTCTTCCTCTTCATCCTCATTAATGAAATCATCTCCTTGGTTGATATTAGCGTACACCACTTCATTTTCAACATCATCCCTAACTATATTAATGTCTTCATCATATTTATTTTCATAGTTAGTAACCGGTGGAGCCACATGATCCCATAATGACTCGCTTTCATGAGTATCTTCATCATTAGGGAAATCAAAGAAGTTTCGTGGATTTGCCTTAATTACATATCTCCAATTTGTTTCATTATGAGAAGCCACATAGAAAACTTGTTCAATTTAAGAAGCTAAAGCAAATGACTCATTGGTTCTTAACCTCCGAGTAACATTGATAAGCACTGCTTCTAAATTGTCTTTTTTAATCCCTTTCCCGTCACTAAACACGTCAAACCACTTACACTTAAACAAAATAACTTTGGGACTTGTTCGATTTTTTAAGGCACCATACTCTAACACAATAACCTCCTCTAAAATCCCATAAAAATTCTTTTCTCCACTTTCCTCATCGCCTTTAACCACCACACCACTATTTTGAGTTTTTCGATTTCTTTGTCGTTTTTTGGTGTGAAATCTAAATCCATTAATGATATATCCATCATAAGTCACAACACGTTTCATGGGTCCTCTTGCTAAACAAAATAACTCTTCGGTAACCCTTACATCCCCATCTTTCAACAACTTAATAATCTGTATTTCACAATAAGTAATAAAGAAAATAATCAAGAAAAGAGAAAAAATACATAATAGGAAAAAAAAGGGTATGCTCACTTACCTTATTCTCAAACCACTTGTAAAAGTCAATCTTTGGAAGACTCGTATCATTCAGATACTCACTAACCAAAGAAATTAAGGAACTAATAGTTAGTTAATTGTATATATTTTTAATAAAAAAAATTTCAAATCAATCACATCAAAACACTTACTCTAAGAAAGGTTGTGCTTCTTCACAATTTTTTAGAACATAAAGGTGATCTTCTTTCCATTCATCAAAAGCGAGCTGCTTTATACCCTAAAGACTTGCCCATTTTAGAAAAAATGGACAGGGTATGGAGTTGTTCATGATCGATATCGTCATTTCGATCTAGACGGTTAAATTGCGTCTCAATCTTAGAAATATATCTTGAGCAAAATAATAGACATTCCATTTCTATGTACTCATTAGCAATTGAAGCTTCAGGGTGAGCTTTGTTCCGTACAGATGATTTAAATGTCCTCATCGCCCTTTTTCAAAAAAAAAATTAGTTATAATCTATAAGTATTTATTTATATATAAAACCTCTTTTTTTTATAAATTAAGACCTTACCTTTCAAAACGATACATCCATCAATAATGTACTGGGCCGACAATCCTAGATTCAGTGGCCAAGTGAATTGGAAGATGTATCATCACATCAAAAAATGCAGGAACGAATATACGTTCTAACTTGCACAAGGTGATTGCGATATTTGATTCCATTCGCTCTAAGTCGGAAACCTTCAAAGTTTTTGAGCATAATTGCTTGAAAATTAAACTGAGCTCCCTTAAAGGCTCCAACACTTTCTCATCTATGACACCCTTAAAGGCAGGGTAAGCAAATCTTGCATGAAAACATGGAAGTCATTAGTTTTCATTCCAATGATCTTTCCATCTTGTAAAGATGTACACCGCGATATATTTGAACCATATGCATCAGGAAAAGCTAAGTTAAACAGAAAGGTGACTATTTTTCTTCGTTCATTCAAAGTTAGGTGGTATGTTGCTGGAGGGACTTTATATTTCTTATCTCCTAAATGCTTGGCACGTAATTGACTATGCATCTTCATATCATCTAAGTCCAATCGCGCATTTAAGGTGTCTTTATTCTTCCCTAATAAATCAAGTAGTGTGCTTAATATACTTTAACAAATATTTTTTTCTATATGCATAACATCTAAGTTGTGTCGCACTAAAATATGTCTCCAATATGGCAATTGAAAGAAAACACTTATTTTTTTCCATTGATGCACAATGTATTGTTCGCCTCTCTTTCGTTTTCTGATAACACCTTTTCCAAATTCCACATTTGAATAGCCACTCAATTGCTTTAAAACATCATGTCCTCTAAGTGGAGTAGGAGGAGGACCCCATTCAACTTTTCCAGCAAACAAATTCCTATCACGTCTCCATTTGTGATGTGGCTCTAAAAATACTCTATTATCCATATAACAATATTGTATATAAAAAATGTTTAACCAAGATGATCTTGTATCTTTATGACAATTAGGGCATGCACGTTCTCCAACCAGAGAGATTAGCATAAGCTTGAAAGTCACTAATAGTCTACAACAACACTGCTCGCATATTAAATGTCTCTTTGGCATGAGCATCAAAAGTTTTTACCCCTGTCTCCCACAATCCCTTTAGTTCATCAATTATAGGTTGCAAAAAAACATCTATATCATTTCCCGGAGATTTGGGACCGGGAATTAGCAAAAATAATATCATGTTATCACTTTTCATGCACATCAAAGGAGGTAAGTTATATGGAACTGACATCACTGGCCAAGTGCTATATCTGCTACTCATGTTAGCACCAGGATTAAAGCCATCACTTGCCAAACCCAAGCGTATGTTACGAGCATCAGCAATTAAGCTTGGATATATTTTATCCAAGGACTTACATGCTTCTGAATCAGCTAAGTGTCTCATTACCTCATCTTTTGAGCATTCATCTTTATGTCATCGCTTGTCCTTTGCTAACTTCGAGGAGACAAACATCCTTTGCAACCTTGGAATGACAGGAAAATGACGTAATACTAATTGAGTTTTCTTTTCAGCAACACCCTCGTCTTCGTCACCAAAAGACACATCACCACCTTGCACAACTTTTTCCTTCCATCTAGGAGTCAAGCATTTAAGGCATTTTTCTTCATTTGGAAACTCCTTGCGATACAAAATGAAATGGTTAACACATGCATCAATCTTTACATAATCCAATCCTAATGCTTTTGTATATTTTTTTTATTCATAAGAATTAGATGGAAATTTTTTATCATGATTAAATGCCCTATGTAATGTATTCAATAACATTGAAAAAGACTTATCACTCCACTTATTTCTAACTTTAATGTGTAGTAATGTGATAAGAAACTATAATCTCTTAAATGTCTTGCACCCTGGATATAATTTGGCCTCCATGTCTTCGAGCAATGTCATTAACTCCTTACTAGGAGTTTCATCATTGCCACTACTAGAACCAAACTCCATGGCGTTACCACCATCACTATGAACCTCATAAGTTGTACTATTATTCCATGCATTTGTGGCATCAAAAACCAATGGACCCATGTCATCAAATGGTTTATCATCATCATCGTCATTATCTGAGGCCTCCATCGTGTTATCATCTTCATTATTAACATCTAGCCCACCACTTTCTCCGTGACTCACGCATGGGTTATAACTACTATCTACACTATATACTAGTAAGTGGCATTGCATAGTTTTTCGATCATGGGCCAAACTCAATCTACAGTTTAAACAAGGACATTTCAACAAGGTGTCATCATTTTTTTCCCTATAAGCAAACTTTAAAAACTCGTCAACTCCTGCTTTATACTCTGGTTTTCGTCTATCCTTTATACTATTGTGGTTCATCCAAGTTCGATCTCTATTCATTCTTGAAATTTAAAATAAAAGATAGTCCGTAACAGCATAATAGCAAAAAAATAGTTAGTTATAAAATCAAGAAAAAGTTTATAGGTTAAAAACAATCAAATTATGCTAAGTTAATCACCTCCACTTTCGAAAAAATATCAAAGTATAGCTAATGCTAAGGATTTTTGTGTTATCCTAAAAATCTAAAATACAAAGTACCATTCTTCTTTATATTTTCTTTTAGGCCTACTTTTTTACATACTGATAGCTTTTGGTAGTCAAAATTTTAATAATAAATTATAAAAACAAAGAACAAAAAAAATTAGTCATCTAAAAGTTAATAATAAGAACTATCCATCCACACAAACCAATTATTAATCCATATCCTAGGCACACCAATTAATAAGAACTATCCATCCACATAAACTAATTATTAATCCATATATTAAGCACACCAATTAAGTCAAAAAGTGTATACACAATTAAACATATCATATGCTTAGATGTTTCTTTATTATATCGTTTTTCTTACATTAATTTGGCCAAGGCATACTACTGGATAAATTTCATCAAAACATATCTCTTAAAGCAATAATTTCGGGTACTATTCAAATCATATAGCTGTACAAAATTGATAATAATTCAACCCATATAGATATCTATCTATCTATATATATATATATATATATATATATATATATATATATATATATATATATATATATATATATATATATATATATATATATTGAAGTATAATACAATCAAAAGCAATCAAATAAAAAAACACCAACTTGAATATTGGTAGCTTGATCAAGAAACACTAATGTTCAGATCTTCTTTGAAGCTACTAAGCTCCTGAACCAAAGGGGTAATAGAAGGATCTTTACAATTAAGCAAAAAAATTAATTAGTTTGTGGTTCATTGTAGTCAGGTTCTTATTTGCACATAAGTTAATCAGAATGAAAGTCAATATTTATCATACTCTATTGATTATGCTCACTTATATTACATGGGTAGTTCAAATAAAGATTCTAGTTTGCCATATTTTAAAATAACACATGTTCTCTTATAGTTGAATCTCTCTATATGTACTCAGTTTACTCATGTAATAATTAGAATGTTAAGTTCTATATTGTAAATCTGTAACAAACTAATAACAACTGAAATTATAAAAAATCAGACCCGATAGAAAACCACTTATCAAAGTAATTTAACTAATATCATTGTCCTTCAACATCCTAAATACAATATAATTTTCATTGAATATTAAGCGAGCTAATATCCTCTAATATGCTCTCTTATAATTGATATTACACGAGCAATTATAATTCAATCAGATTCTGGGTTAATCTTACCCAACTAAGAATCCTTACAATTTCTTGGGACAAATCTGTCATCTAAGCTTCTTACATCACGGCAAACAAAATCAGGGAAATTAACCAAAACTAATAGCGTCATTGATCTAAATTGGAAAAATTAGAAGCATAGAATATTTTCAAGAACAATTTTGCATTTCATTATTGAAACAAAACTCGAATGTCACTCGATTAATATAGAAAAGAACAATTATTTTGCATTAAAATCTTTTTTTTTTACAGAAAACAAAATTCGATTGATATTAATCACTATGTAACTGACCCGTTAAGAGGATGCGTTGAAGCCGTTGTTATCGCCTCCCTTAACACCGCCGGACCACCTATATGAATTAACAAACAAATTAGGGTTTAACAAAATTACAAACTAGAAAGTAATATTGAGAAAGGGAAAACATGGATTTAGATATTGTATAAAGAAACAAAATTGACCAAAAACACGCAAAAACTATAGCTCTTCAATGGCTTTCGCAAGCTCTGGTACAAATAGGGGACAGAGGAAATGGAAGAACTGAACTAAAGAAACTGATGATGTACGGAATTTAATATTTGATGTTTTGGCATATTTGGGATTTTTATTAAGCGGGTTTTATTTCCGCCCAATTTTAATTGATGGGCAACGGCATTAAACATCCTTTTCAGCCCAATTTAATTGGTTTGGGTAATGGGTTAAGTTATTTTGTTGCCCTACTCATATTAATGGGCAACTATCAATAATTTCGTGGCCCATTTATGAATAAGGGCAACGCAAATCTTGATCGTCGCATGTTATTGTACATTGGGCGACAAAAATTACCTCGTGGTCCATACTTAGATGTTTGGGCGACGATTATTAATTTTGTCGCCCATAAATTATTAATCCGTTGCCCAAAATTGTTTTTCTTGTAGTATAGGCAAACCTTAGATACTCTAGAACCTTAATTTACTGTTATTTTGCATATTATAGCATGGATAGATAACAAGGTTTTGGTTCTCATTCTAGGGAGGCTCATCAGGAGGACAATCCCATCATCGCCGGCGTAGGGACCTCCTCTTACCTAAGGACGTTCCCAGAGTGGGATGAGGGCACTCTGTATATTGTGTCCTAGTCTCATATTTCGGAGCGCGTTCGGCAAGGGATTCACAGCAAGAGAGTTTGTAGCCATGGTTCTAGAAACACGACCATTGGCTCCCTATACGACACTTACTTCCGGGACCATAACGGTCTGCGCCTCATGTGGGAGTCTTGCGGCTTGACTCCTCTTTTGCGAGCCACTCGGGCTATGTATTCTTTCGGACAAAGCCATTACGTGGTCCGAGATTTGGTGGAGTTCTTTTGGGACACCACTAACACCTTCCATTTTCCTTGGAGGTCATTCCAAGAAAGTGTCCCTGTTTTCGGAGGGTAGCATTTACTGTCATGTTAGAGTGGAGGTCGTAGTAAAGAGGGGTCCTTTCATCCTCCTCAATTAAGGAGACCTCTTCGTTAAAGCCCCACAAGTCTTCGTCATCTTCATCGTGCTCCACATTTATGATGGGATTCTCGATAGCCTTGATTCTCATTGGTGAAGAATCAATTGTGACAGGGATTCCTCCAACTATAGCCTTCACTTGTTGATGAAGGGATGAAGGGAAAATCTTTAGGTCGTGAAGCCAAGGGCGTCCCAACAATAGGTTGAAAGATGCTTTGATGTCTGCTACTTGAAAAGTAGTAGCATGTTCTATGACTCATGTCGTTACATTCATGGTGATAGTTCCAAGAACTTGGCGGCGAATGTTGTCATAGGCTCTTATTCCCTGTGTAGAAGGAGATAAGTCTTCATCCTTTATCCCTAAAATTCTCGCAGTTCGGAGTGGACAGACATTAATTGCTGACCCATTATCTACAAGAGTCATTGGGACATTCATCCTCTCGCAGATTAATGTGAGATTTAATGCTTTGTTATGTTTATCACCCTCTAGAGGTAGGTCTTTCTCAGAAAAAGTGATCAAGTTGATGGGACTAGGAAGATCACTCGTGAGAAAGTTAGCCAAACCCTTAGGAGTGGTTTCAAAATGAATTCCTATTTTATCCAAAGCATTCATCACTGCCAACCTATGTTGATGGGATGTAGCTAAGAGTTTCCATGCATTCATATCAACTTTAGTCTTCTTTAGTTTCTTGACGACATCTTTGTCTTCTATGATGGGTATGAGAACTTGCTAAGTAGTAGGAATAGGTTGTTGCACGGTAATGTGAGGTTGCATTCTCCCGGACCTTGTGAGGACATATATGGGTGAATCTTCTTCACCCAAAATATCGTCCACTTGATATATTGTGAAGAGTGGGGTCTCTTCCATATCCTTGAGGTAGACGTCCTCATCATCGCTGTCCCAAAATCCATTAATAGTAGCATCTTTCTCTTGTGGAATTTGGACTAACTTTTTATTATCAATTAGTTTCTGAATTAAATCCTTAAATTTAAAACAATGTTCTATTGTGTGTCCCCTTGATTGATGATATGGACAGTATAACCTATCCGTCCTCTTTAGTGATTCAAATGGTCTCGGTTCAAGAGGTTTGATCTTTCCACTCTCGGAGAGCATTTTGAACATATTCACTTAGGTGGTCCCAATTGGATTGTAGGACTTATGGCTCCTTTTAGGTGTTTTGACTACTTGAAAAGAAAATGGTTTCTTCTCGGTAGTCTTTATAGGTGTCACCTCTTCATTGACATGTTTACTTTGTTCTTGCTTCGTGCATTCAAGAACTTTTCTACGCATGCTTATCATTTTCTCCACCGTATATACGAAGAGCAACACATCTTTTTTAGTGGCCAGTTGTTGAATTTGGGACCATTTACTCATGGCGTCGAAAAATACCTCCTCTTCTTCTTCAAGGGCATGATTTTCTTCGAATGGTTTGATTAAAGATGAGGGATCAATACAACTTTCCTCATCAGAAATAGCCAAGGAGTTAGAAAGTGGTGCACCGTTGATGCTTGGCTTCTTGCTTGCAGGGGGCACTGGGAATTTATTGTTGTTGATCAATTCCTGGATAACTTCCTTTATCTTCCAGCAATTCTTAGTAATATGGCCCCTACCTTGATGGTATTTGCAGTGTGCATTAGGGTTCTCATTAGCCGTTCTCTTTTTGACCAGTGGATCCCTAAATGGTCCAATAGGAGTTATATGACCTTTTACATGAAGACGGTCAAATGTGATGTCATAACTCATACTAATAGGAGTAAAGTTTCTCCTAAATGGTTTCTTTTGTCCTTGATTGTTTATGGCAAGGACTTCATTCAGATTAAAGGTGCTACCATTATTTGAGTGGGTGGTTTTGGAAGAAGAAGGATTATCGTTCTTCTTTCCTTTCCAGTCACTGTTGGAGTTAGTGTTAGCAGCTTTTTGCTTTGCAAGGTCGTCTTTAATATTAATTCCAATGTCATTGACGGCCTTGAAAGTATTCAAGTTGCTTTGATACTTGAGATGTTTGGAATATTATTCCTGGAGAATCTTTATGAACAATCTCACATATTCATTTTCAGTAGGTACCTCAACCATCTTAGCAGAGGTTTCCTTTCACTTTTTAAAGAAAGAAGTAAAACCTTCATTCTCTTTTTGTTTAAGTATCTCAAGTTCCCTATGATCAGGTTCATCTTGAATATTACATTTATACATATCAATGAAAGCGTTTACAATGGAATCCCAAGTAGAGATTTTCTTTTTGCCAAGGGAAAAGAACCATTGTTGACAAACGGTTTCGAGTGATAAAGAAAACAGTGAATGAAAAACATTCTTATCTATCCCCTTAATGAAAAATAGTGAAAGTAAGGATTATATGTTGCCTTGAACATAGGGATGTCATTGGCATTGAACTTCTGCAGAAGAAGTTCCTTGTCCACTGAGACCCCTTCTGAGCTAATGCCCTAGAATCTATAATCATTGGATATTTTACTCAAGCTTTTTTGCATGAGCTCCATTTGTTCTTGCTTCATAGGGTCATTGATTTGAAGAGCCATACTCTTCATTATTTCAGTTAGGTTGGCCACTTCCTTCCTGAGTTCATTGACTTCTTCTTGAGACGCCATTGTTTTCTTGGCTTTCCTTTTTCGACTGATTGGTTTGTTAAAATGGAGTACTTGAACAAATGTATTGTCTTTGATTAATCACCCTTCCTTTCTTGACTAAGCGCTATAAATTAAACCATTTATTTGTTTTAATGACTTGACTAAAATTGACTTTGACTTTATTGGTTGTTTTTTTAAAAAAAACAAAAAAGAAAAAATAGGGTGTATTTTTGAGGATCAAATAAGGGTTCAAACAAGTATGTTTTAATTGGAGGATTATTATCTGACTTACCCCCTAAAAAAATGACGGAGAATACGTGCATACAAGACTCTCTAGACATGGTCAAAAAGTTACATATTATGGGTGTGCTTTGATAGTGAATTTGAGTGTCATACTTTGACTCTTTTGTGAGACCATGGGACTATGTGCCTAGACTCAATTATGGAATGCACATGACTACTATCATTAATAAACCGATTAAACCATTTTTAACAAATTAATTTGTTAGACTCGTCGTGAAGACACAAGCAAAAACATGGACTGTTGTCGGACGACATGATTGTCGCCAGACGCTAGGGATCAGCACAGACGACAACATTATAATCTGGCGCTAAACAGTAGCGCGTGGCGCTATAGTCCAGACCATTGCGCCATTGCTGGAACATTGATCTAGGACTGTTTCCAGTATTTTACTCTAAAGGGACAAGCCTAAAAGTCGTACTAAGTCAAGTTCGATCAATTTACTTAGAATTTAATCATTTATTAATTAGTTAATTAAATTAGCAAAGTCCTTTAGTCATTAATTAAGTTATTTAACTCATTAACAAGTCAAACAAACGGCTAGCGGAAAACACATAAAATATGCACAACAATTAATGCACAAGTAGTAATATATTCACAATATGATGCAATGAGTTTGCAACCTAACCATGGCTCTAGTTCTCTAAAGTTTGGGATATGGGTTAGTCAATAGAGGGTCCATGGTTATGAGTCTAGATGCACTGCGCGAAAGCCTTACCTTTGGAAGGGTTGGCGCGAGTGGATGGGACCCCGCGAGTTAAACTTGCTTCCATGGTTTGGTGATTTCAACAAACTCGGATTTACCTTTCGTTCCCATGAGCGTTCAATTGGGTAGATGGAGCGTGAATTCCCAGAGGGTTATGGTCATATGTAGAACACACATGGATTCAGAAAAGTGAGAAAAACTCAATTAGGAAGTATAATCGAGCAAAAAGTACTAGAAAACTAGTCGAAATAAGAAGGTAGATTTCTGGCTAGTTATTCGAAGAATCCGGCACGAGAAAGTAGCGTATGTCTCCAGACGATGCCACTGTCGCCAGGCGACAACACCATCGTTCAGCGCTGACGCTGTTTTCTGAGCGCTAATTCCTATATGCCTCGACAGCTTTTTATCTTGAATTTTCGAGTTTTTTTGGTAGCGTTATTTAAACTTTAGTTGTGAAAGATATTTCCCTAGTTTCCTACGTGTAAAAATCCTATATTTTTTTATGCATTACGGATGGTATTTCCGATGCAACCCTTTTTATGCT